ATGAAAGCAGGAGGCAGCAGCTTGGACCAAGAGGAGGAATGGGAAACACGAGGTCCTGTGTTAGTAACGGTGGCTGGTCAGCCTCGGGCCTACGAGGAGGTCAGTGAAAATCCAGCGCTTGTGTCCCTCATGACGGACGATGAGAGAGATGCTTATATAAAAGTAGGGCAAGAAATGTTCCAGGCTGTCTTTGACTGACCCACGCTCTGGACAGGTGAGCATGCATGAAGTGGGTGAAGGCCCCTTTTGAACCAAGGCAACTGTTAGTTTACATTCCTCAGGGCCACCTTCCAGAGGTAAGGGTTTCTCTGACCCCCTGCTGTGCTGTCAGACTGACCCTGTCACAGGCAGCTGCGGGTCAGCGTGCCAGCAGTGCAGCAAGAGCAACCCAAAGTTGCTGTGGGTTTTCACGCTCAGACTCTGCGAACACTGCAATGTGTTTGGAGCACACATCATTTTGGGTTACCGTGGGATGTAATGGGCTGAGTGAAATAAAGTTTCAAAAGCAATGCTGCAATCTGTGCTAAGAAACCATCAATTCCACTTCCTGCCCCCAGATGTAACAGATAGCTCCTGTAGCGAAAGGGAGTCAGAGCCTCATGTGCTGTGGCTTTACCTCACACTGCTGTGTTCTGCTGGGTCATTTGCTATGCGTTCTGTGGCAGCACCCCCCCGCAGGAAGGGCTGTTGCTAAGCCGTGTGAGCTGTAGGAGAGAAGCAGCTCCGGCCCCTCAACTCTCATCAGAAACGGTTATCTGAATCCTCTACGCTCCTTGCTCTACGGAGCTGTCTCTGCAGCACTGCATGGCGCAGGGGGCAGTGGGCAGTAACACCCAACAGTCCCTGTGGCCCAGATGGGCATGGCAGCAAGCAGCATATTGAGCACAGGGCCCTGCTTCTCCCATCTCATTCACGCACCCCCTGTCATCATTTGAAGCGAACTCCCTCTCCTGCCACTGAAAGCCAGGTCTGCCTTGAGCCCAGCTCCGTGTCAGCAGGACTTGGCGTCAGTGTACGACGCAGCTTAATGTCTTCAGTGATTCTACTTGGGTGTTGGAAGTAGACCAGGAAACAAACACACACACAGGAGGTTCTACCTAAAGGTCAGGAAACCCTTTTGAAGGTGAGGAGGACTGAGCACTGGCATGGATGGCCCAGGGAGGCTGTAGGCTCTTGCCTTGGAAATACTCAAAATCCACCTGGGCAACCAGCTCGGTGTAGCCCTCCTCAAGCAGCTGAGCTGGGCAGGACAACTCCAGAAGCCTCTTCCAACCCATCCATCCAGTGGTTCTCTGACAAAAGGGGAGAGCATGACCAAAGAACCATCCTTTCACACGCAGCAGGCCAGGGCAAGAATTTGGGAATAGTGTGCACTGATGTTATTTCCTGAGCCAAGAGTTCTGTGATTTACCATATGAACTCCCTTTTCATCTCATACGCACAAGCCTTACGATTCCTGACAACGGCCTCTTTCAGCTCTACTGCACCAAGCCAGGGCCTGGAAGCATTCACTTAGTTTTGTTCTACAGGCTTGCCTTTGCCACGCTCTACTGCCACCGGCGGTTTAAAGCCTAATGCTAACCTGTCTTCAGCTCCCAGGCCATGCTTTTGCCTTCAGTCACCCCCCTCCTCTCCAACCAGCCGTTTCAGCCCTCCCTCACTGGAGAGACTCAGTTAAAGAAGAGATCATCGCAGCAGAACCTCACACTCATTTTATCCAAACTTGTGGCAGGCGGAGGCCCCACTAGCACTAGGCTGTCTCCCAGCACCTGTGGCTGTGGCATTACACCAGTCCCGAAGGGAAGACCATCCTGAAGTTAAGTGACCATTGCTCTACCTGCCTTGCAAAAAGCCCTGTCTTTTAAGGGGCACGCAGCAGATACGCGGATCCAGCACGCTCTAGCTCAACTCATCACTTTGTGTTGGCAGCAGCTCTCATCTGAGAAAGTAGAGGAAGTTTTTGCTCAAGTTTTCTAATCTACTTGTCCACAATCCTAATCCACCTTTGCCATGAAACTTCACTAGGTGCTGAATTTAACTGGGGTTTTATTTTTTTTTTTTAACATCAACTACTTAAAATTTCTTGCGTTCTACATGAAAACTCTTCACAAAGTCAAATACTTTAGGAACAAATTCAGCAGGCTTGCAGTGGCAGGAACTTTCAGTGTTACATGTGAAAGGCTACTAACATTTTCAGACAGATTCAGCCCTCTGCCCGCTGGAAGTGCAAAAGAATACAGAGTGTCCCCGCGGTTACCTACACAGCCAGAGTGTTCACTCAGATAAACACACAGAGAGAAACGAGTTCCGCAGGCCGGAAACACAAACCTCCTTTCAGGTCATGAAGACAACACGAGACACGCACAGTGTCTACACCTACGAGCCGTAGCGGATGGAGGAACTGAAGTGGGACAGGAGGTTCTTGTCCCAGGAAACTTAGCAGCATTTCTCTGAAGACAAGTCAAGAGCTGCCACAAGCGTGCCAACGCTCAGAGTCAGTCAGCTTCCGCCAACAAGCTCTGCGTACCAGCCAGGGGACCATTTTTCAAAAGGCAAACATACAGACAAGTCCAAACTTTATTTAAGACTACCATTTTGAACAATTTTAAAATGACTAAACAAGTCACAATAAAAAATAAAAAAAGGTTAAGACAGAAAAAGAGCAGCGCAGCAAAACTGAGCAGGAGAGGGTTCTGTTCCAGCCGCTCCAACTGCCACAGGCAGAAGTTAGCATACCTATCCTAACTTTTACATTTTTATACACCTCCGGGGTTCTGGGAAATCAGTGCTGACCTTCTGTAGGCAGGGAGCTCCTCAGTGCAGATGTCTTCAGGGCATGCTCACGCACTCCGAGATCCGTAGCGCTCTGCAAAGCAAGAGTACAGCTTTACCGTCAAACAGCGACAAGGCATCAGACACTGCTCTCGGCCGCATTTCAGCTCCCTGGAAGTACCCGTCAAAGCAGCTCCTCCTCGCCCTTTTGGCCAGGAGCCTCTTGCACCATGGCTTACTTGAAGAGCTGCAGCCACCCCCCCTACACAGATGAAGAACGGCCTAGTTGCTAGCTGCCGGTTCTGCCCGCCGGGGCATTCTTGGCCAGACCATTCCCCCCACAGGCGCCTGCATCCACCAGAGTGGCACGCCCGACTTGCGCCAGCACGGCTCCCACGAGCAGGGCCCTTCTGGCGGTACGACAGGTAAACTCTAGGCCGTTTCAGAGAGTTTTCCCAGCAGGTGTAGAAGATGCGGAAAGGAATCTTTACCGGGTTCTTTCAAAGTCTGGGCATCTCCTACTAATTCTTGATCCCGAGTTCCACCTCCATCCAGTAATTCGTCACACAAACTGTTGGTTTGGGCCTCAGTTGCCATTTTCTTCATTAAATCTGCCTTTTAGACAAATAAAGCAAAACTCAGTTCTGGACAATTCTTACAGCTGTGTAGATAACTGAGTCGTGTAGGGTGTACAGTGCTAAACCACCACCCCATGGGCAGTGACAAAATACCTCTGAATATACTGCAAGTTTCAGGGGCAAGTCTTCAACTTTCACAAAGTCATCTTCATCTGATTTTTGACTGACATTTCCAGAACCAGTTTCCTGTTAATAAAAAGTGACATTTAAGAGAACACTGCTACTTTATTTTCATTCCAAAACTAGATTTTTGACTATTACTAAGTACATCCAAAAAGCAAAGCCCGTCTCAAATCTGCAGATGAAAACTGAGTAAGACTGGAAATAACACTGAAATAGAAAAAGGCTTCTCCTGTCTCCTGGATGGATCTTAAGGGAACTGTACGCACATATTCATTCACCAGCACAGGTGACTCCGTGTCGGGGCTCCCGGCCATGGAGCTTTCCGAACTGGCAGCAGATTTGTTTCCTACGCACGTCGTATCTAGCCTTTGGGCTTCGTCTGCTGGTAAAGAGGAGCTTGATTCTTCTCCTTCCATACCGGCTGTTACAAAGGCGTCTGGGGGACTGACTGTTAGTGGTGGGGTACTCTCCATGATGTTGAGGTAATGAGGCAGAATTGTAGCCACATCTTCTTCACCTAAAAGCACAACACTACATTTTAACTGGGTACAGTAAAAGATTGTAAGCATATAAAAATCCCAGATTCTTACTGTTTTTGTTACAAATTATGATCCACAGCTACAGATGATCAATGAAAGTGAATTAGTCTCTCAGGTCAACACAAAGCTGACTGAAACAGACCATGAATTATTTGCACTCCCATACACTTAAGTGTCTGGAATTATCACAAGACAGGCTGTGACTTAAAAAGTTTGATGTAACACAGAATATTTTTTTAAAAATCAAACACAAACAAGCACGACACCAGCTTCCAGAATTATATGACCTACTGTATAACATACATTCTCAGGATAAGGAGATGTAAAAAAACCCTGATAAATTCCTTAACTCTTGGCCACATTCTTGTGGCAACACAGGATCTACTGAAACACTGCTTTTAGTCTACAAAAAAGAGACCAGGAAGAAAACCAGTATTTGCAACGGAAAAAAGCCAGAAGGAAAGGTGGTGACAACAGATGAGAAGTAACAATTGTACCACCTGGTAGTGTTTCTGCCGTCCGTCAGAACTCGCGGGAACTGATCTTTAACACACAAGGTCATTTCCATTGCTAGCCAATGGTAGCAGCACCAAAAGCCACTACTAGACAAATCTAAACATCAAAATGCTTAAGAGACAAACGAACTCGGCTGCAGTTGTGTGCCAAGGGCTGCAACAATCAACTGCAACAAGCATCAAACCCACATCGCTCTGTGTAAGGTCATTCCATGTTCCCTCTTGGCAAGGTTTGCTGCGTCTCTATCAACATGGATGGTGTCTAGCCAACCCATACAGTTCCATGACAAACACAGCCCAGTGAACTCCTGCCCATTTGATCATCTTCCTCTTCATTACACGTAGCACAGGCGCTGTCCCAGATAACTCTCACAATATGGAAGTTATCTGTATAACCTCTCAGTTACCACGTTCAAGGCTTACCTTTAACAGGAACGGGTTCTTGTTCCGATGGCAAAATCTCAGTGCTTTTCGTCTTAGTCAGCTCCTGGTTTGAAGTCTATCGGGGAAGGGGAAAATAAGTTACAACAAATTCCAGCTTCATAGCTCATTGGCTAATTTACTCCTTTTTGCAAACTAGAATCACAGTGTACACTTGCTCCATGTTTTTGTCTTTCCACTAGTGTGAAATAAGGATAGCAAGTCCTACTTTGTTCATCAGCACATCAGCAACACTTTAACCAACTAACACTGATACTTGTTTTGTCTGAACATTTAATTTTCTTTCCACTACAGTAGTTCCCAGGTGAACCCTCTGGTTCCACTGAAAAGATCTATTGGTTTAGCCTTAAGGTAAAATGCTCCAACCTTGCCTAGAGTGAAAAAAACCCACGTTCCAAGAGAAGCTTCAGAAGTCAGTCTTATTTACTGAAACATAAAGCATTAACAAGTTTCCAGACCCAGGTCACATCCAAATGCTTTTAAGGAAACCAAGAGTGAATTGACAGTAGCAGTCAGTAACATTTCACCCTTGTTCTAGCAAAAAATATTGCATGATAAAGAGGAAAGACAAATCAAAGGCGCTAGAATACAAGGGTCGATGGCTTCTGCAAGGGAAAGCCCCATTAGAACCCGATGTCAGCAAACACAGGAGGGAACAGTTAACGGTTTATAACAGCTCTTCTGAAAGTTTACCTTTTCTACTACAGCTTAACATCTTCTCTGACAGAATATTTAAACATCAGCTTTTGCCCGTGTCCATCCATCCATTTTGGCCCCAGTTATACCAATAATAAATTCAGGTGGGGAACACTGCAGTTTGTATATGGCAGCTACTGCTTTCACGTAATTTCTTGTATCATTCTTCTACTTCCGTCAGCGTGAAAGCAGCGCACCGCGAAAAACGCAGGTACGTACAAATCTGTACCGAAAGCTGCGCGCTGGCTTTGGTTTGTCCTGCACTCACCACGTCAGTTATACCTGTTCGTTTTCAGTTGTCGTCTCACTGCTAGCTTGTAGGGATGTCTGCACATCAACAGGTCCTTCCTCAAATTCTATTTCCTCATCTTCGTTCTCGTCTTCTCCACTGCCATAGTTAGTCAGAGCTTGGGTTTCTGCTTTTGATAAACCTGAAGGCAAATCAGCGTGAAGCCACCTTCATACTGGATGTACGTATTGTCAAAGCCTGACAGAGCACAAGTCAGGCTGCAAAATCCAAATCCCTTTTTGGGAATTTACTGCAGCAATCAGTTTTAACTCTTACTTCCAAACATTCTCTGAAATTAAGACACAGCGATGACTTGCTGTCACGGGTCCGCATGTTCCACATAAGCTATGTCACGGACAAACACCACGGGGTTCGTGTGAAATCTCTGAACTATTAAACAAGTTGGAGTGAAGAGTGCAAATACGAGGGAAACCAAGCCATGAGCGGTTGGTGTAAGAATACAAAAAGGACAAACAACTTGATGAAAAATATCCAAGCTCAAGGAGGAACATAGTTTTTAAAAAAAAAATCATTTAAATGCAAAACAGCATAAAACTTGCACAGCTTTCACATCCTTCAGGTTAGAGGTTGAAAAGCTTTGAGTTTAGCTGAGTCAGGATACATAACAAACACACCGGATGACAACATGTGTTTTCACAGATCTGCTGATTACAAAGAGAAAACGCTCCCCTAATTGGAATGTCTAACCCCTGACACACTACAATACTGTAGAACTTTCACTGGAGGAGACCTGACTAGAAGATCTGTGAGGAAATGTGTGACAGAGCAGTACTTCATGCAAATTCTGTTGTAGAACTACTTGGTCAAAACTACAGTGGAAGCACTGAATAATGAGCAATATAAAAATCACTTACTTATTGCGACTGGGCTGCTTTCACTTTCCTCATCTTCCTCTTGATCAGAGGCATCAGACCTACTATTTTTAGGGACTGCGTTACCATCATACGTTTCTGAGTCCTGCACTTGTTTAACAGTTTCAGTCTCATCCTTGTCCTAGGAAAACAAGAAGTATTGTCCAGTTGTTTATCTAAAGACTGAGTCATGGTTTCTGCATCAACAGTCACCTTTGTCTCTCAAAAACCAGTTTTCAGTCTGTAGATTTATTTAACATTAGCCTTTAAGGCCTTGAACTGAATACTGCAGAGCTACTCCGGAAAGAAGGCATCAGGACCTACTGTAAGAGGTCATGATGCACTGTTCAGGCACAGCTACCACCGACATCGAAACTGAGTACTTCATTATCTGCTGATCGGCATGTCAACCTAAAAAAATATTTCTTTAAATCTGTCATTATCAAGAGGAAGGACACACCTTCTAGCGATCTCCCTGCCTCTCCTAAATGACCTCTACTCAAAGTTAGGAATATTCCTAACTGCAGCTTCCTGTCTCTTTAGCAATAGCTACTCGGCAGTTTCTCTGCTGAATGAGTTGCTAAATACCTCGAGTGAGAGAATTCTGCTCAGTCTCTGTGAAGCCCAAGTAAAGCCTAGAGTTTGGCTCCAAATCCTGAAGGGACTCTTCCACACTACAGCAACCACAAGTGATACACAGCTTCCCACTTTTACTTCCCCAGCAGAGTGACAGAAGCTGTAAGCCCCAGGACCAAGCACTGACTCCGTGCCCATACATGCCTACCCATACTGTATGCCCGTTCAGAAAAGCCAGCAACACTACTTTGCACGCTGCCTGTGTCCTTCCCTTGGCTGGAAAAAGCTGAATGTTCCAGCAAGAAAATACATTGCTTCCTATATAACCCCTCTCCCCAAACACGATTTTAGTGGCTTTCAAAACAAAGAGCAAAGGGAGAAATTTTGGGCGCTAGCATTTAATACTCAGAGCACAGAGACTTCGATGCTGAGACCTCAAATAGAATGTACCCCAACTCAAAGCGTCTGCCTTCTCCTCAAGATGAAAAGTAAACAACTTAGTCCTTACCTTTACAATACTGATTGCTAAAAATAATTAAGCACTGTATTTCCTGCCCTTGTTATTTAGTTCTTCAACAAATAACTACATCCCCAGTGCTCTGAGCTGAGCTCTGGAGCTGAGAACAAAGGCAACAGCCCCGGACCAAACCCCAGGGCAGACAGCATCAGAACCCGCCTGCGGAAAAGCAGAATCCCACCCCAGAGCTGCTAAGCAAGTGTCACAAATGATTCTGTTTCAGCTGTGCAGCGTTCAACAGAAACTCTGCTCTTTTTAGGCTTCCAAACTGTCAGCCCTAAAGCAAAGCTCATCCTACGTAAAGCTCACCGACAATAAACAGAAAAGCACCTTTGTTGATCTGAACGCACTTCCTGAAAGGTAACAACGTTTTGGAAGGAACACATCCAACAGGCTTTACACCGTCAATGGCTCTGCAGCAGACACGGGACTTAACCCAAGAGCGACCAAGGAATGGATATCCACGTCATGTTCACTGCACACGTATCCTAACAGACTTAGCGATGGAGGCAGAGCTTCGCCAGTCATTTCCCAGACCATCAACTCACATTAAAAGGGGGAAACTGTAATTTACTTTGTTACTTTGATAAAGTGTATCACTGAAAATAACAGAAAAGAGATAAACCCCATGATGTTCAATAAACTTACGAACACTACGAGACGAGCTGCTTACAGACAGTGGATTTATGAGACAGAAAACAGTAAGACTAAGTGATCTGTGAAATTATCTGAGGAATAATGACAGTTGAGAAGCAAAAACATACTTTGTCCTCATCGACTTCTTCAGCAGATGAACAAACATCCACCTGGAGACCTTTTTTTGCCTAGAAGAAACACAAACTGACTTCAGTTCTAAACCGAAGTAACTTTCAAATACTGAACCAAACCGAGGAGTTTAAATGCCGATCTTGCCAACACCCGCTATCTCAACTGGCAGCAACCACGGGGATGTCTGTACTATGAGAGATGTTTACACAGGCATCTTCAAATTGTGGAGTTGCGAAACAAGAAACTGCTAGCCCTTTTTATTTAACAATTCTGTTTATATGGGCTAACTGTCCCTTCAGTCCATGGCCGGATCATGTTTAACACACAGAATTAGGTATACCAGCTCCGGTCAAGACAGAGCTGTGTTTTTCAGCGCAGAATCTAAAACCACTCAGTTTGCTGGACTCAAGACAACCTCAAAAACTGAGCAAGCGCAGATGTGCCTGCACCAGGATCCCAGGTCTGAAAGCTGTGAAAAGACCATATAGAGAGAATTGTGCAGGTCTGTACGAAGTAACCAGGGCCTACCAGTTCTGGCTCATCAATGGCTCCGTAGAATCAAACCTTAAACCTAACTCTGTCTTCCGGGAGAGGAGAAGCAATGCCAGATCTAAGTCGGCTCCATGCACTCTCACAGCAGGGTATGAACCAATCCTTTTAAGTTACAAAGGCCCAATGAGCAACTTCAGGTAAGAAGTCATGTCCAAGTCCTTCTGGATTCAGAGTGTTTCTGCAGCCTCTTTAAGAGGCACTCCCCACAGTCTCTCTCACACTGCCCACACTACTGGTACGTCTACACTGAACTGGCTTGAAACGTAGCCAGTGACACGCTGAAAACTACCTACAGGACTTCGTAGTTTATGACAGATTCGCAACGTATCTCCCCTTGGCATTTTATAATGAGAGGGAGTTAAGAGTTTGCTTTGGTACTTGTGTTTCTAAAAGAAAGCTGAAAGGAAACTGAAGTTGTAACTGTACCATACAAGAAGAAACAGAGGTAGAATAGCTGACCAATTTAAGTATATGAACATGATGTTCTAATGTTTGTTTTGTAAACAGTTCATATAACTAAAAAAGCACTGTATTTCTAAAACCTGCAACACCAGGATTAAAAATGGTGATGCAACGTCTTCAATAATATATATGGTGCAAAAACCAAACAAAACTTGCTTTGTTAGAACAGGATATGTACTACAGTCTCAAATATTTCTGAAAAGTCTGTATGTATTTTACACCCTAAGTCTAGAAAGTGATACTTTCTCCATGTACCAACAAGCCGACGATTTGATGACTTCACTGGACTTATTCAAGGCAGGTAAAGATGGCGCCTAAGAGCTGCTGCGGGGAAAGCCGCAGGCGTAACTGGAGAGATGATGAACTGGGACACCCATATGTCAAAATACTTATCTGGCATAGACTCCAACCCCTTCACAGCAGCTAATATGGAGCTATGTTCTGCCTTTGTTGGCAGCACAGGGATGTTTGTGAGGGCCTTTTCTGCTCCTCACCCCAGCCCAGCAGAGAGTAGGCTGGGGGCGCACAAGACGGACTGAGAGGGGACTCAGTCAGAACAGCTGACCCCAACTGACCAAAGGGATATGCCAGACTGTATGTCGTCATCATGCTCAGCACATAGGAAAGCTAAGCCAAGAAGGAAGGGGGAGACATTTGGAGTTATGGCGTTTGTCTTCCCAAGTAACTCTTATGTGTGATGGAGCCCTGCTTCCCTGGGGATGGCTGAACATCTGCTTGCCAAGGGGAAGTGGTGAATGAACTCCTCGTTTTGCTTGTGTGAGTGGGTTTTGCTTTACCTGTTAAACTGTCTTTATCTCAGCCCAAGAGTTTGCTCACTTTGACTCCTCTGATTCGCTCCCCCATCCCGCCGGGGGCAGGGTGAGCGAGCACGCAGCGGTGTGGTGCTTAGCTGCCAGCTGGGATCAAACCACAACTACTCAGTGGCCCCAGATGTCTGTTTTGTTTCAACCTGTGACTGTTCCTTCCCACGTGCATGTACAACCATTACAGCACATTTCCTCTGACTTACCAACAACAAGGTCTACACAACTGGGTATCGGGTACAGAGACTCAGCTGCAACACAGGACATCTCCCCTACCGAGGGGAACTAGTGCAGGCTTCTACACAACCAATGCTGACTACACAGAACTCACTGGTCGAAAACACATACACAACACATGAACTAAGGTAATCAATGTAGGAAATGCAAGTATTCAGGAAACTCAAAAAAGCTACATTTTTCAAAAATACAATATAACAAACCTCTTTAGCATAACACTGTATCACTTCAGTAGCTTCTATTTTTCTTTTACATCTCTGCTTTACAGAAATACTGTTGTTGTCCAAGTCTTGCATGAGTTTAAAGAAGGCTAGTTCATTAAATAACACTTCGGATATCTCCACAAGAAGATCCTCCCCACAGTCTTTCAACTTTCTACCAGCAAATTTCGCCAGTGAATCCTGTGAAGAGAAGCAATTCTTCAGTTTTTGAAACAGGCTTTCAGACTTCAAAGATTAGGTATTTGTCATATTCCTAATAACTCAAAATTAGTTAGGTGTTAGGTGTAAAAAAGCCCATACTTTTTTAAAAATATGGTTTAGTATCTTAAACAGATTAAGTAGAACCTCCAGTCACATGATACAGAACTTATCAAGTTACTGATTTAAACTCTTAAGCTTAGGGGGGGGGGAATAAAGAAGAAAAAAGAAAAGAGCAGCCTATTGATTTTCAGGAATTTACACAAAATGTCCATGAAGAGCATCACCAGAACCCTCCCTGAAGACACCCACAGGCAGAAGATACACCTCTCACTATCTGGCAGTGATGGAAAAGATGTCCTGTGCACAGTAAAGCTTTAATTTCAGGAAAGAAGGTAGTAATACCTCATTGCTGTATCACAGCTGAAGGAGAACAGCAGCTATGCTATTGAAGTTGTAAAACATAACTCCAGGGAAGCCGGCTCATCTGCTGCTTGTTACCCAAGTTGCTAAACAGCACTGAAAAACTACTAACCTGAAGTATACTGCCAAGCTGCTTATGAAAGAACTTCACAAATTCTTTACTTTCATCATTTTGTTGTGTAAGAGTCAAGACCATACGTCTCACTGCTGTCAGTAACTGCGAAGAGCACACTTCATCCATGTGTTCCTGAAGAAGGGTCACAGAATGAGCTTAGTGACCCCTTAAAAAAAGGTCATCAGCGCAACACCAAAATTCATTTATTAAAATCACCTGTGCGCTGAAGGAACACCACTCCATGAACAGATCCTAACCCACCTCACCAGACAGACTGACAGGAACGCAGTTACAGCGGTTACCGTACTTCATTAATGACTGAATGGCCACGACAGCCAAAGCTTTCTCTCGCTTTTCCAGCACACGCGTACGTGTCATCTGTTCATGTCTGGACCAACCAGCAATATCCATACACGCTGGCTGCGGACCCAAGTGTATTGAGGCCTATGTGAAGATATCTACTGCTGGAAGCTTCCTTAAAACTGCAACCAAAAGAGAAGGCTGCAGGCACTGAGACTGTGGCACGTCAACAATACACAGTTTTTTAAATTAATTACAACCAAGTACCTTATCAAACAAGCCTCAGCTTACATAATGAGCATACCATAAAAGGGAACAGGGAGGTGACTGAAGCACCTTCCCTGCTCTGTAACCTCACAAAGAATGAACTGACTATTGCTCATTCTTTACAGTAGCACATTTCCCCTCTGTACTCACAGAAGTTTACAAACTCTCGGCAACTTTAAAGATATTTGTAAACAGGAGAAAATAATGCTAAAAATCAACAACTCAGAGCTATTCCTAAAACATACCTCAAGTTATGCCAGATGTAAGAGTTTTAATCAAAATTATCTCAGTTCTCTTCGCTGAAAGGCAGCAAATATTTCAGAAGTACATTCTCATACGTTTCTATTTCATTTGGCCAGCTCAAAACAACGTCTCTCTTCTTGACATTAAGTCCACCAGCCCTATGCAATCTAGTAACCTTTCCATTTCTTTCTCCTACTAAAAACTCCACAGAACCTTCCTGTTGGGAATATTTAATCCTTACTTCATCTTCAGCAAAAGTCCGCAACTTCACACAGCTGTTGCTAAAAGTTACCCACTGCATAGAAGAATGACATTTAAAATGATGCCAGCCCTTTTCCTACTCACCTAATTCACACATTATCACAAAGAGTTCTCACCTTCAGAAAGGGAATGACCTCTTTCATAATTGCTTTAATCTGCCGGTCCAGCTGCTGAGTATCTATGCGAGGACATGGAACAGCAGAAACGTCGCTCGACTCTGGCACGGGACTGGTACTTGGACCTCGTAAAAAAAAATGCACATTAATAGCAGTGCTGAATGACTTCAAAAATGCCCATTTCAAACCCATGTATTTTCCTTTTTTTAAAAAAAAAAAAAATCACATTTACTTAAGGATCTTTTGAAACTTTGCTAAGTTTTCAGTATAAATGAAGAGGAAAACAAGTCAGCCAATTAAATTATTCTTGGTATTTAGAGTAATTATTTTCTAAGACTAAGCAAAAGACGTATATATGTGCATACCTTCTAATTTAGCAGCAGAAGCACCCTGAAAATTACTAGAGCAGCCCTCAGAGTCAAGGGTACTTTCAGCTTCAATTTTCATACGCTCATATTCCCTCATCCTAGCCAAAGCTTGATCTAAGTGAATCACTGTGTTGCCTATATTTAGAATAAAAACATCTTTTAATCTAAATAAAAAGTTTGATTGAGACACAAGTAAACAATGATAAAAATTAAGTCAAAAGGCACAAGTTTTGAAATCTATATGTAACTGTAGTTGAGTTAAAGTATTTTATTACACACTTTGCTCAACTCTAAGTGTTTCCCAAGTGGCAGATTTCTGTAAGTGTTGCTTTTACAAAACATCTGGTTACACACTGATCACCACAGAACAGCGTACTGTTTAAGAGTAGACAGTTTCAAGATGTTTTAGGAGGGAGGGAAGGAGGGACACAACACTAAATCGTCATTCTCACCAAGGTCATCAGTGGCAAAGGGTTCAAAATTGGAAGACGTAGACATCGTACTCCCATTGTCTGCATCGTTTTGTTCCCCATCTTGACATGCTTCTGCAGAAAAGTTCTTGCCAAAAGTTTCCTGAAAAGCACCAAACAAGCGAATACAATTTTTTATCCTCTCACAGATGTGTCAACGAGCCAGCAATTTTTCACAGCCACGTGCTGTGGTATCCAGACCTGTCACTAGCCTGCCTGACTGGGAGCAACCTTACTTCTAGGATATAAATCCATCAGGTGACTCTACCATGCCTGTTTCACATGCTTCAAATATAAAATACAAATGAGACTGTGCGGAGGCATCAATGATTTCTTAAATAAAAAAGAGGAAAAAATTCCTTGGGAATCCTCTGATCAGTAATTTCCTGGACCTTAGTGACAAGGGGATCCTGGCTTTTTTTGAGTATCAGATTTATTGCCCCTCTCCATGTTCTATTCCTCCCTGACACTTCACTCATCTCCAGCATCAAGAATCCTACTATGTTTAATCAATTCTGCATTAAGAATCTCATACATTTCTTTCTTTAGGAAAAGTCTGCGCAAGTTGATAGCAATTTTAGAAAAATTCAGTCACCAGTAGGAATATTTCAGTACACAAGCATGCATGTAAATTGAAAACGCAAAAAGCTGACAGGAAAGTAGCCTCTGAGCTTGAAAACTTACATCGTCTGTAGAAGCAAGGCTTTCACTGGGAGTGAGTTCCGAATTTGATGCCACCCATGCCGCAGAGTTCAGTGATTTTGTGTGCTTCCCTTTTTCATTGTTCTCAGATAAATGTCTGGTCACTATATCCTGGAAAAGATAGTAAACCTATACTGTAATAAAGGATCTAAGATTTGTTTGATGCATTCACAAGATCAAAAATTTTGCACACACCTGTAGAGCATAGAGCGCCCTCTGCCTCAGGTAATCCGTATTTAGCAGCTGAAGCTCATGGAAGAGTTCAATAAGAAAGTGGGGACGAGACTCATTTTGAGAAATAAGAGTTGCCACTTCAGAATAAATAGTGTCTCGCAAAGCTTCAAACATTGACAGATCACTACCAGTTTCTGTAGAAAAAAGGAACTTGTTAAGTACTTGACATGCCTCCAGCTGAAAGAAAACAGATTACTGGGTATGCAAGTTACAGGCACACAGATTCTATCTCAGTCACTCTACATTCCACTACATAGGTGCTTTCTTAGAGCTTACTCATCTCCTGAAGGGCAACAAAGATTTAAACATTCCAAAATAATACTTATGCAATCCTTCACACACAAAATAAAGCATTCATAGGAGTAGTTTTCTCCACAATTCTGAACAATACATTCAGAAAGTATTCTTTGATAAAGGGAATATTGCACACACTACAATATTGCTTTCAGAATAGGTATTCAACACTGAAAATGGAGTTTTAAGGTATTTTAAACGAGACAGCCAAAGGTCTCAAGTTTACATAATACATGTAGTCCACTTCTGCAACGTAAGCAACAATATTAAGAAAGCTCTAGACTGAATTCAAGCAAGCCACTCCCTCCCAGACAAGCCTAAATCCTACGCTCTCATACATGTCTAATTTCACTCCTGTGGTTCACATAAAACCTCTTACCCTTAAGCCCTTTTACATATGTATGAGAAAACAACGTATTTCCTAAGTCTCCCATTCCTTTCAAAGCTAAGGATTATCCTTGAATCCCAACAGTTAAATTATTACATACATATTTCGGCAAGTGTTGAATGGAAAAAAAGTTAAATTTGGAAAACTCAGCTTAGTTTAACAGAAGTGTATCTGTTAGTAATCAAGTTAATGAAGTTAGTAGTAGTACAGCACACAGTTACTGTGCAATTTAATGACCTGCAAATAGTTTACCAGTATTTTTAAGCAGAGGCAAGCTTTTTTAATGTTTATTAAGCCACCAGAAATCACTTCCCTCTCCCCATTAATAAAATGTAACGGTAGCTTTTAAAAGTACCAAAAGTGCCTACTGAAATTAGTTTTCTGTTGCAGCATCTACCTGCCTATTGTCCACTTGTAATTGTGACTAACCAAGAACCCGCTAAACACATTCTCCACAACTGTGATTCAAAGTAGCTCGTATCATTGCATCTCATGCAAATTACTTCTCTTGCCTTGTTTATACAGTAGGTGCTGCAATAGGACTAATTTTAACATCTGCTAAACAGTGAGTTACAGGACCAAAGTTAAGGGAGGGGGGGAATGAATAAAAGTAACTGGACATTGTTGAAGCTAAGCAGTGAATGCATTACCTGGCGCTTCAGTGCATGCATTTCTGTTAGACTGCTGCAGAATTCTCCTAGCATGCGCTGTAGGAAAGTGGGGATAGACAGTGATAAACACAAAAACACGCACCAGAAATAAAGACAGGGTCTTTACAAAACAGCAAGAGGAATACTGCTTAGTCATCCAAACCACACCAAAGCTGCTTATTGTGAGAACCAGGACGAGCAAGAGTTTACTGCGTATCCCAATGAACAGCTCTTCGTGTGGAAGCAGCTGCATTGACAATGCTGTACATCATGCTACAATGACTACAATATCTGCGTCTCTCAAACCAAGCAAAGCTACTGGCAGAACCTACAAAGACACGGGAAGAGTAATTTTATGATCTAGATGCAAGAAAAGCAGTGCAGATGCCAAAAATGTAAGGGTGTGTGTGATGCTGTAAGACTGAATTTGAATGGTATGTGATAGCGCTTCTCCAAGCATGAGCAGAACGAACACACGTATGCAGTACAGGATGTAGTTTAAAACAGTGTCATCTGCTGTGCAGTTACTTTCCTTAAAAACATCAAACAGGTGAGGTTTTTAAAGGCTTGGTAGGTTTTTAGTTGGTTTAGAGTAACAAGTTTGTTTCTAAGTTACTGTAATCAAGTCCCTAAGGTACAAGAAACACCCAAAAGCAACCAGTACCCAACTTTTTACACACCTGTGTTTATGGTACCCTTAGAAATTAAAAAGCAAAATCCACATGCTAAAAATACAGTACTGTCACCTTGTCACAATACGCTAGCAACTGAGTGTGGAGGTTCTTTACTCCGAGAGTTCACAATGTTACTGACATTCAGAACGGAATACCTGAAGACATTTCTGTAGATCTACTGTATTTAATTATTTTTTCCAACTGTTCCCGATTCCTTTTGCTGAACACTTTTGCCTGAACCACCTCTTCAGGGTGTCTGCTTTTACTGCTCTTGCAGGGTTCACACACACTAGAAGCGCTTGCACTTTCATAACCTTTTGGGAGGGAACGAAAAGGAATAAAAGAAACCAGCTTTTAGGATTAACAAAACATTCTGTAAATTTGTTCAAGGGCAATCTCAGAGATGCAAAACACCACGATGTTCCCTAGGCAAGTCCTCCTCTGCACACTGAAGCTGCTCAGCAGCACTAAATCCTCAGCGACTACAGCAATACTACACTAGCACTGGCCCTGTCTTCTCCCTCAGTGTTTTACTGAACCGCATCTTCCAGCCATTCAGCCAGTTTAGACATGAAGACGTAATGAAGTGGAAGATTCTCCTGGTGGCTTATTCCAAATCTTACTGTAGCCGCATCCACTCTCCATTCAAATCATCATGTCCTAATCAGTTCTGCTTTTTATTTACTGACTTACTAAAAAACTGTGTGTAGTTATGTTACGTAAAATGATTTAATATTTCAGTAACTTATTTTCAATATTATAAGTACCATTTATGGAAAATAAGTTCCCTGGAATGTAATGATTATAACTCAAGGTGCGTTTGCCATAGCATCTAAGATTACTTTAGAACTTACCAATATTTTTAATTCTGCCTTTTAGCTGAGAAGAACTCTTCCTCTTATTCTTCAGTTTGGGTGTTTTATCCTTCGATGCCAGGCTTGCTTGCGCTGATGCTTTTCTAGATTTGAATGTCTTGGTCACAGTAGTTGGGTCCACTGGATCGGGCATGCTACTGAAACTCTCCAAAGACTCTTCATCCGACTCCCTTCTCCTGCTCGTATCAGACTGATTTTTATGACCAGAAGCCATGTTTTGTACTGAAACTGCAAAGCCTGTTTTCAGTTGAGACTGATCATCTTTTTTCACTTCCTGGCTATCATTAAGCCAAGCTGATCTTTTTTCCATTTCCTCTTCAGGTTGTCTATGATTCCTTCTGTCAGAAAGAAAGGCCACAACACAGAATGACAGAATGGTTTGGGGTGGAAGTGACCTTAAAAAGATAATCCAGTTCCAAACCCCCTGCCATGGGCAGGGACACCTTCCACTAGACCAGGTTGCTCAAAGCCTCATCCAGCCTGGCCTTGAACACTTCCAGGGATGGGGCATCCACAGGTTATATACCATAACCTAGTCTCACAGATAGAAATGGGATGTATTACCAGGCAAACAGCTTTATCCATTAACACAAGTCACCTGCTCCAGTTAGTCAAACAGCCCATTGGGAAAAGAAAAAAAAATATAGTGAGAACCCCTCCAAATGTCAAACTGAAGATGTCTGAAGAAATTCACATATATCACCGATTTCAACCTCCGTGTACTTATGCAGCTCTTGCTGGGCTCAAACAGTATTAGTGGACAAAGTATTTTTTAAAACAACATTCACTACAATCTACATAGCACAAAAAAAAAAATAACGTTCACTGAAATTCTATCTTGTTATTCAAACAGCTCAGTTTCCAAAAAAAAAAAAAAAACAAATTACATCTTCCTCCACTTACAAAATATATCACAAAACCACTCCAACACTATACATGATCTTAAAACATTCACGAAATGATGCATTAGTCACTATACAGAAAACCAGAAAACTTAAGGGGAAAAAAGTAAAAAATATTAGAACTGGAAACTGGAAAGGTAAAGCACATCTTGAAATTTTACTATTAACCCAGAAGATATACACCCTGAAAGAATGATGAATTCCCACAAGCCTCGGGAATCGGAGGAGCGAGGGAGGAAAAACAATTAAAGGAGAGTGGCACTGTGACATTAAATACCTTTGTTTTTCTGCTCCATTACAGGAACCACTTTCAAAAGGTTTGGGGAATGCCATATACTCTGTTTTCCCAGAAGCACTATGATCTAGAGGATGCTGCTGCTGCTCACTGCTGTGTGGGGAAATATTGTGTGCAAAATCTCCAAAGCCAGCAGGGAACACGGGGTTGTAGTTAATACCTACAAAGTAAAGACGAGAGTCAGAAGATACTGCCTCATTTATCTGTGTGACAGAAGTAAAATTTGAGGCATTGTGTGGCAACAAAGTTAGGAAGCAAAAAAAACAGTGGGGAAGTTGGCAAAAACTGTTGTCCCAAAAGCACTTCAATTAGAATTTATCTTAAATGCAGGTTTTGAACTTCACTGGATACGTGCCGCTACAATCCCATCAGTGGGAAGATGAAGGTACTTCAAGACACCCCAATAAAGAGGTCCTGCAAGAGGAGGTAAAACTGACACCAGTTCCCAAAAGGGCTGAGCTCTGTCCGCACGAAGACTTTTATCAATACTTCAACCACCACCAAACTGACAAGGAAATTCCAATGGTGCAAGTATTCATGGGGCCAAAATCATAAATTCGTGACACTTAACTTCAGAATCTTTATAGTAGTGGCACATTGAACATAACTATACTTCCGTGCAGTTTCTACCTAATTTATAAATGTCCTCAACACAGGAAACGACTTTACAATATGAAAGTTACAATATAGGACTATGCCTGTTTCCTGGTTTCCTGAAAAAGCTGGAATGTATTATTAAGACAGCATTAACAACTTCTAAGGATACTGTAAAATATATATTTTTTTCTCCATTTCAAATTCAACAGTAAAAGTAGATTTGGAAACGAGTTTAAGTCCACTGTACTCAAGTCAACAGTTACTCTATACCTCTGATGGGAACAAACATTAGGAACACATTCCACTTACAGGCATTTCAAACAAAAAACTGAGCATTTAAAGTGCTAAGAAAGAGAAATAACGACCGAGTGCCACCTTAAAATCAAGGCATTCATTCAGAACACTATTAAAAGATCGCCGAAGGAATGCAAAAGCTTCAAACACTGCTTTTCCCATGCTGGGTGAAGAACATACAAAGTGTTAGCCTCATGGAGTGGGTTTTTTCAAATTTAACCAACTTGTTATTGAGAAAGTCTTGTTTCTCATACTGAAGTCAATATATACAACTGCCCAACAATAAACATTAACCAAATTCTGCAAGGACAATATGGACTCATTCAAGCATTGTTTAAGACCATTTCAATGTAAAGGAAAAGTCACAGAGTTTCAGCAAATTCACACTAAAATTTCAATGAAATGAGGGAAGGGAGGTTTTTAAAATTCTTGCTACTCTTCACACTTGTAGTAATACTCACCTGGAGCAAAGGAAGAAAAATTAGTAAATCCTGGTACATTAAACAGGTTCACAGGTTGGGGAGGAAAGCTGAACGGACAAAAAACAGGAGATGGAGGTGGTGGTGCACTACTGCCTCTCTCCTTTCTTGATGGCTTCTCTTGACACTGTTGTTCTTCTTGCTGATACATAAGGTCATTTAACATTTGTTTCAACCTTGAAAACAAGAAAATATAAGCACTTTGGGAAAAAAAAAAACAGGAATGCTAAGGGAAAGCTGTAAATTTACACTCAAGTAATTTGAGACTCATTATTTCACCTGCCCCACGTAATGCACAAGAACTGTTCCATTTAGCTAGTAAAAAACAACTCATGGAAAAAATAACTTGTATTTAATCCTAAGTCACAGACAGGAACAGTTTTTAAATCAACCACTCTGTGCTAGTGGTCAGGTTTACAGAAGTTAAACATCCTCACAAGAACAACAGAAAATTGACTAGATAGTAAAAAAATAAGCAGACTGAAAAAGAAACAAACAGAAACAAGCCAAAGATACAAGATATTTGCAGCAGTGGCATTAAAACTACTTCAAAATATGAGATAAGAGACCAGTAACTATTTACTACTTACCAAATACAGAACAGAGGTGAAGGAGCTTGAACTTTTATGTAATGAATTTAAATTGCTATTGCATCTTTTTTTTTTTAAATATAATTATTCAGGAGTAGTATATCCAAACAGAGTGCAAACAAGCATAAACTCTGGCTGGCAGCATTAAGAATGAACAAAAACCTTTCCCACCATCTTTCCACAACCATTAGAATCCAGAATCTTGCCAGGTAGTCTAGCAAAGACTACATACATAAAAGCGTACTCAAGGAAACAAAGTCTGAACCAAAAGAGACAAAGCCACTGCAACAGATTTTTGGAAGAGATGCCAACTTTTGGTTCCCTTCACTGAAGGTTACTCAAAAAGAACCATCTCAGAGGCATTAAAGCAGTGGTGAAAGAAACAACCATAAAAATGCCGTGTGCAGTTTCAGAAGCTTGGATTCAGCTCAGAAGTTCAGCAGTCTCCTATTTAACCATCAGCCATAACCTTTTAGTCACATAGCCACGTTCTCTGTTACTGAAGCACCTCCAATTCCACAGCCAAACACTACTACAGCCAACAAACCTTTGGACATTGTTCTGCTGCCACATCAGCTGAGTGTAACACTGGTTTAATTGATGCATAATAAGATGTACTTGTGAAGATGCAGTGTTATTTGGCATCATACTGTAAGGGCCTGTAAGCAAAGTCTGTAGAAGACAAGAGAGGGTCTGCGGAAAGAACACACACGACAGTGACCAAGTTAGCAGACCCAGGCGTTACTGTTGGAAAGATCGGGGGGGTGGTGGTGGTATGGAAAACAAAGAACAACAACATAACTGCTCTTCATATCTACCTGCTGATCCTGCATCAAAGTTTGACAAATGCTGACACTAAATTCATGCTGTTTCTTCAACTGATTGATCTGCTCTTGCCACTGTTCCTTTTCTTCCACGTATGAAAGTTCAGATATCCACCGAAGGTTTTCCTGACGTCGCATACTTATGTTTTGCTGTTGCCTAGCCTTAGTCAATGGGCGATAATTCCCATCAGCTGAAAGAGGACGGCAATTTTTCCACCTGAGCGGGGGAAGAAAAAGGAAGAATGAGGACAAAAGCTGCCATTTCAAACATCTTCTTATGATACTTTCATTATTCAAATTATGTGTCTGTTGTACGCCAGCAGCTCACTTGGCACAACCCATTTCAGCGTGCCAGCTAATCAACCATGCAATTTTGTCAATCCAACACCATCCTAAGCAAATGGAAAAACAACAGCCACCCAGCTGACCACCACTGTCAAAAAAAATTGCTAAGGATGTATCTGGATTGTGGTTTTAGTATCATCCATTACTGATACATAATATGTACTCAGATGAAAACAGAAGCCACCACCATAACACACTAAGCATTAAGAGGCCCAGCTGCTAACTAGGAGGCCACTATCTACTAAAATTATTTTGATATCAAAACCAGAGGACATCAATTGAGGAGTTATACTTTACTTTTAACATGGCTTTTTCATTTAGTCACACAACACTTAGAAAGGAAATCAATCAGATAAGAGTTAAAAATATTCAGGTTAATTAAAAAAAATCTATTAAGAAATAGTTTTCAAAGCTGCAAAAAGCCAACATCTCAGAGTTAGTTTAATTCTCTGCATTATATTTTTGAAGAGTGTGATCAGTGTCACAGCAAAATTTCATATACATTATCTTTTAAGCCGATTAAAACATGGGAACATAAGGAGCTACTGCAACACAACTGGAGAGCTCAATAACAGACATTTAATATCACTGGAAACAGAAGAAATAATCAAGATAGTTATACGCAGTGCAGCTACAGAGACTCAGACAAGAAAGTGCCACTGCCCACAGCTTCCTGGCAAGCAGAGAAGTGTTAATTGGCTCTAAATGCAATGCTTCTTCCACCCCTTCCAAAATACTCTGACAAGCATCTGATCAACAACTAATGCCACTGACCTGTCCTTGTTTTCTTTCACAAAATAAGTGTTTTCTGGTATGTTGTTATTGGGATAGACAGAGAAACTATCATTCAAACTTGATGCATCTTCTTCCTCTTCTTCTGCCTGACCAATTCCATCGGAGAGATAACAGTCTTCATCTCCTTCCTCTTCATCTAGTGCACACTGGGTAGAACCTCCCCAGGTAGCCATTGTCCTGGTGAACATCAGCGAAAGAAAAATATTAAAAAAAGGGGAAAAAGGGGAAAAAAGAGGAAAAAAGATGGGTGTTTGGAAAGGGAGGAGTTTGTTTGTTTTAATAATGTGTCATAAACTATTTGTTGACAACTATAAGTCTGTCTATCTTCAATTAATCAAGCTGCACTAAAATTAAATCTCTCATCAATGCAAAATGAAACCAGTATTCTGCTGATACTGCAACAGTTAAACTCACCGTTTTGGAAAATTATTACTTTACTATTGTTATAGATTGTGTAGAGGTGAAGAAAAATTACTCTCAGCGTTTGGCATTTTCACCACGTTCTTTCTCCTTCCGTGACTTTTCACCATTTATGGCGCAAGGGCGACTACATACGCTGGGCAGACCCATAGAGCTGGCAAGTTGCCAACAGTGACTTTAGCTAGCTCTGCTATACCGCCAAGTTCAGTGCTCAGATGCAAACACCGAACTGCCCGGTGACTGACATCTCACTGAACAACAGAAGCGCTCACTAACAGAGTGACTCGTGCTCTTACTTTTCAGTCCTGCTCTGCTGTGGAGTACGCTGAGCTTCTGATCCTTCACTTTTAACTGATGCAGCAACAGTAGATATCGTTTCTGCGAGCTCTCTCCTCCTCTGATGTTCCGCCATTAATGCTTCAAGCTGCTTTCTTCTCTGTCGTAATTCTTCTCTTAAAATCTCATGTCTTCTCATCTCAGACCATAACTGTTTGCAGGAAAACAGAAGATGTTAGAATATAAATAAAATTGAAACTACAGCACTTTAAAATGTCAGTACTAGATACTACACTGATACCTTTTTGTTCTGGCATTGGTATGACACTGTAACTGAAGCCACACAACAAAAATATGAAAAATACATCCAGTATTTGCTATTTATCCCAAATACTGCAGAATCTATGGTAAATAAGCATTATAGGAGAGAATTTGTGAAGAACAGCGCATGTTTCCCTCAACACTGTTTTTAACGTGTAATTTATACATTATTAGTTAGCTCTTCAAGTAGCATGACAGAATGCTACCCTCTGGAGAAATCTGAACATTGTGCTGAGTACTTCTTGGATAAACCAGAGGATACAACAACAAGATTTTCTGCAACCTGCAGAAAAGTTGCTGTATATTTTTGAACAAGACTTAAGGAAGCCATGACTTGCAAAGAAGAGCACATAAAAGAAAAGGTACAGGTAGAATGAGGCCTTATCCACCTTAAATTTGATACAGTGAAAACAGAAATGGCAAGGTACTTCTACAAAGATGCGTAGAAGATAGACTACTTCTCAAATACTGCCAGCATTTTCTTCATGGATGACTTGCCTGTGGTATACACCATCAAACGTTCATAGCACAAATACAAAATTCTTTCAACTCCCCCATGAATATTTGGCAACAGTTGCCGTATCTGGGGAAAGATCTCTTGCCAGTTCAGGTTAACACATCCTTCTTTCCAGAAATGAAACAAAGAAGTCACATACATTTTGCTAAAGTTGCTACTACTCCACTCTCCATGTCAAGTACTTAAAGATGTGTCCAAGTGAACTAGAACTTTGCTCCTTTTTAAAACTTTTTAGGTCACAGAATGTCACGTATGAAATACCTCATTGCCTACTGGCACAGATTCGTCAAATTCAAGTAAAGGCCTGCCAGCTGCGCTACACTCATTCATGGCTGGCGTTGAGGTTGCTGGTGAAGTCTGTCTGTTTGCTGGGGAGCTACCCACGCCAGCCGACGACAACTGGAAGAGAGAACAAGATGACAAAACAGAGTGGAATAGCTTTCTAAAATTTACCTGCTGCTAAAGCTCAACACAGTGCAGGCTTTATGAGACAGGAGAAGTAGTATTCAGTGAAAAGGGATTTTCGAATCAAGGCTAAACACTTATTTCAGAACTTAACCAGGAACCAACAAAGCACTTCTATGTAACACCGTATTACATAACGCAGCAGATGCACAGCACTGACAGCTTACTGCTCACTTCACAAAGTTCACCTGCAAAGAGGACGAGAAGTACTGCACCGTGCAGTTACGTCTGACTGCAACACAGCCTTGATCATGCTTACTAGACACACTATTGTTTCAAAATACCAGACCCTGCAAACTACTGCTAAGAGATGCAGTGTCTAGTGGGTATGGACAAAGTTCAAGGTAGAAGGTTGTCTCCCTTTGAAGACTTTAAATAAAGGCTTTTGTGGACAAACTACAGTGAAATTATAGCTTGATACAGCACACTCTGGTTAAGAACCCACAGTGCAATGAAATAACAGAGCTCTTCTCTAGGCCTAGAAGGCCAGCTGTTTACAGTATACAAGTATTACCAATTTTAAGGGTTTTTTTCAATTTTTATAGTGAAAAAAAGGTGTGAAAGATACTTGGTTTCGTTGCTCAATAGCTTAGAAAAGCAAAATACATTCTACTCACTTGAAGGTCAGGACAAGCCTTCTGTAACACTTGAATTTTTTCTTGAATTTCAATCAGTTTTCTTCTTTCTTCTTGTAACTGCTTAAGCTCCTGCTGCTGCTGCTGCAGCTTAGCTTCGTAAAACTTCTCTCTGTGGAAATAAGTTATCCGCCTATTACTTGGCAAGAAGTTGCCTACAGGATGATTCTGCTATCCTCTGACAGACATACCTTGCTTTTTCATTCAGTCCTACATCTTTCTGTAACTTGTTGGTACTAGCTCGGACATTGTTTGGTTGTTGTTTTGTCTCCTCTATCTCTCCCAAAAACAAGTCACCAATATTAGACGCATTTGCAATTGTTGCTTGAGGTTCTGGATCATCATCCTGAAAGGGTGTCAGAAAGGCAGTTCGGCTATTTTTAAATTGATACACACAACATGTTTAGTTTGTCAAACTGATTTTTCAAAACTAAACAGTCTGAATAGCTTTAAGTTCAGATCATAACTGGAGAAGTCATCATCTTCGTGACATCATGACTTTAACATAAATTCAGTTAATGGGACAATTTAAAGTTATAGAGCTCACACTATTGACATTTCCATTAAATGCAAGATAACTTGCCTCATTCTAGAAGCATAAACCACTTGAATTGTACTTTATGGCTACGACTGGGTGGACAAACACATATGCAAGTCATGAAACAAAGGGGGAGGTGAAAACTGGAATAGAAGGAGGCTGAGGCGAACAAGACTGCTTAACTGCTGTAGTCATTACTAGTAACAGCTTAAAATAAAAACAAATCTACTCTTGAAAGTGGCATTCTACATGGCACTCTATTCCACTTTTCTTACATTTTTAGCATTTTCAGTTCTCAGCTCAAACTCAAACTATTACAAGCTGTTGCTACTGCTGCTTTTGTTTTCCAACATGATTGTTCTTAATACAGAAGCAGCAAAACAGGAAAGACCATCATCAGTGACCAAGTATGACACAGCTCCACAGACCCACAGTACCATTACCAAGTACATACAGATACAAGCCTTCTGAATATGAAGACTGAAGACCATTAATTAGTTTATTTGTTAAGGAAGCTGTTGTATTAACTCCCACTCTGATTTATGCCACTGTACAGCTAACACCTCTATAGTGATAATGAATAACAAGCCTGATGCAGGTGCTAAGAGATTTCTGATAGCACAATAATCTTCAAATACAGTGTGTGTACTGCTGCTACTGTAAAACATATGTTCTAATTGAGATAAATTTTAGAGTTCTCAAATAAAGCCTTTACATTTCTGATTAACCTACATGTATTCAGAGATCATGTTAGATGGTGCTCAAATATGAGCATTCTGTAAGGTCATTAGATTCGTGACAATGTTGTTAAATTAGCATGAAATATTCTAAATTAAAACCACTGTCGATTCATAGCTGGCCCTCAAGATTCTTAATTAAAAAAAAAAATAAATCACAAAAGCCAATCCAAACCCAAGCCAAAATACCCCAACTCAAACATGTTGCAACAGCTGGAGATTTCAGTCAAAAAACAAGTTACTCTTGCTCACTGACTGAACAGTGTTGCAAACCCTAGGATTCAAAACCTAAACCTCATGAATATTCATTGCAAGCTTAAAAGTGTAGATCAATATTAGTTAAAAAAAACATAATCAACTTCTTGGTGCGTATTTTATAATCCAGTGCTGAGGTTAAGTACCAAGGCCATTGTTCTGTTAGGGTGGCATGCCCCAAGAAAATTCCACGTGTGAACTTCAGGAAGTTATCACCCCAACTTCAGCAAAAATCAAAGGGCCTTTTTTTCCCAGCCTAAAAATGAGCATTTTAAATGTTACACTAAGCAGAGTGGGTTTTCCCCAATAAAAGTTATACACTACATGAAATAAAGAATGCTACATTTTTGTGCACAGATCCATATTCATAAAATACCTGCACCATAGCAGCAAGGTTTTGTAACTGTCTAAGTTTCTGTTTTGCAGCTATAAGCCTATTGATCTTCTGCTCAAACTCAGCGTCTCCAGCAGCATCACCCAGGCTGCTCCTGTGACTAGATACGGAATCTTCACTAACTCTATCTTCTTCCACTTCATCATCTTCACCTTGGGGTAGGTCGAGATCTTTGTCATCCTCCCTGTTATGACAGTCTGGAAGCAGGGAGAGGAGGAAATAAAACAGTACCAACGATACATTATTGAACTTCCGAAGTCCACTGTAATTACTGGACATCAGAAAAAGATCAGCTTAATGATTAGACTCTTGAACATCTGGCTCAAACAAGGTTCCCCCAAATTCTGTGCAGCTATCAGAATTATTTACACGATTATACTTACAATTAATGTTTATTTTAAAAAATATTTTATTTTTAATATTTACAATTATCAGGAGATTTTAGAACATACCCAGGGTAGAAGACATTTTGAGAGTCCTTATATTAGCAGCAGATCGGTTATTTATTTCACAGTCTGTGTTAAGATGTCTCCCATCTCTGTTATTTGTTCCACACTGTACATTTGAGTTGCTATTTATTTCACTCCAAGTACTGATTCCTTGAGGGTTTCTAGGGTAAAATGCATTACTCATGTTAACTTTAAGAACCAATACCAATGGAATTTTAACTCAGCTATTTCATTAACTGGCTTTTGTGTGAATGTGTCCTGACCCTTAAAAAAAAAAACCAACCCCATATAAAATCAGTCCAAACATTCATTTCTCAATAGCCATTGCTCCAATAGATGTTACTATATTTTTTAGCAATCAGAAGCAGCTGAATTATTGCCTGCCACATCTACAAGAGGGTTTCAAGGTGTGTGTCTATATTAAAAAGATATATATAATTTCTGCACAGTGTCCCTGCTAGACTATAGCTCTAAATGCCTCTCTAAACACAAGTTTGTTTTCATTCCAATTCTCTGCTCTAGGTCTGTTAACCTCCAGCTGAGTCCCATACGCATAATTCAATGCTTAGATCCAAAGGAGTTGCAGATTTTGAAGTCTCTTATGGTGATTTTCTAAATGCTCAATCTAATCCATATTTGCTACACAACTAAATTACCAAGGACAATATTATTAATCATTGATATAGAATGACTAATAATAGGAAAGCTACTTCAAATTAAAAATTTTGGAAAGTTAACATAATCACAGAATTCAGTTACTTCTCATAGACTAAAATAATGTATTGCCTCAAGAAACCTGTAACAACTTAGCTACAAAGATTTAGGTGAAAAAAATACAACAACCTAATATTTGTAACAGGCTGTGGATCCTCATGTTCAGAATCACTTTCCGATTCTTCTGTTTCTTCCTCTTCCTTAGTGTTTTCATTCACAGCATCTGTCATCATATCAGATGTCTGCTCATAGTAGTGAACTAGCTCGCGTAACTCGTTCAGCCTCTTACGAACCTCGTTTAGCTTCCTATTGAGGAAAAAAGAATATGCTAGGTGTTTGGTCATATTAATCAAATCTAAGTAGAGTTGAAAAGTATATTGACCATTTACAGTTTTTGAAGTTTACTGCCATTTTCCTAGCTGTAAGAGCCTTCTGCTTCAAGCTCTGATCTCAGCCAGCTGTCTTGGACCATTTACTAAATGGTCTGTAACACGAAATTAAGTAGATTAAGATATGAAATGGTTTCTTAACACACAGAATTTACTAAAAAAAGTAACACAGTATCACTAAAGCACATTAGGGAAAAGAAAAAGAACTTTTACTGAAGCTTTTCTGTTGGATTTAGATTGTCATCCTCTTCACTCTCATTCAGAGAAACCAGGGAATCAGGAGGATAGGGAGCAGATGCCAGGCTGTTTGATTCGCCATTGACCACAGTTACTACGCCTACAGGACAAGAAGCAGCTGAAGTCGTACTTCTTTGATCAATACTCCTTTGAGGAGAACCTGAAGCAGGAAAAACTACAGGAAAGAAATACAGCCCATAAGAATAACTTGCAAAACAGAACCTGCTTAACTGAATTATATTAGAATGTAACTACACAAAACACTACTAACATACAAAACAGCAGTTAATATCTTTTCTCAGACGAACAAAAACTTCAGTCTAAGTTTCATGGCACGTAATGCCAAGAGGCAGAGAGTAGCAAGTAGCTTTTGTAAACAAGTCTTCGGTCAGGAAGCATGCTTCAAGTGCCTCGTTTCTTAATGTTAACCAAAGTACACTGTGATCACCCCTCAGAAGTTTCCAGCTAAAAGGCCAAATCTCACCAGCACAAGTGTATTTCTAGAAATAGAAAAGGAGCAGCAAGTAGGCCCACATAATGCCCTTTAGGAAGAAAAGGCCATAACTCTAGTCCATTCAGATGGTTAACTTCCTCTGGTACGGCCCATGACCGAAGCCTCTGAGACTAGCACATTGTAAAGTGTTTTACAGGGGACAAGCAAGCCCCATAATGCCACGAGCTACTGAGACCTGAAGTGCCAAGTAATACAGATGTACTGGGATAAAAATACACAAAGTTCAAGTTCACACGGTATGCTCCACAAGCCAGGTGTGTTGCAGACAAGCCTTGAAGAAACTAAATCCTGTAGTCACATCCTCACATTAGTCAACTTTGATAATGTTAAAAACCAAAGTGCGACTAGAAAAAACACTCATCGTCATTATTTGTAGAGCTCTCCATTAAGCCATAAATTCATAAATCATTAAAAAACATTTGCATAACAACACCCCAGCACAGCTTTATCATTTGCATTCCATTAAGCAGTTGCAAAACTGTGTTACAAACATGCACATTACAAATGCTGTACTCTTGAAAAGATATAATTACACCTATATTTACTTACAGGAGGAGTTATTTAGATGTTGGTCACGAAGTGTATGGAGTTCTCCTAACAGTTTGTCCATTTTTTGCTTTTTACCCTGCAACATTCGCATCTTGTTGAAAAGCCGTGCCTTCTCATCTGATAGGTGTTCGGACACTGATGAGTTTCTGCTTTGTGAAATCTCTCTGGTAAGTGAAAGACTTTCTGCCTGCCTTCTATTATCTGGCACAGACTGTGTCTAAAAAGAGTAATTTCATTTTATTCAAAGTATTAAGAAAAAAGCCAAATAAATTGCAAGAAACAAAAAGCCCTCTTATAGGCCTCCTAGGCTCAACACCAGCACAAAGAACGTTATAAAGAGAAACATACTGAAAACACTCACAGTATCCCGATTATCTATTGAGTTAATATGAAATTATACTGCAATATAGAAACTACTTCTTTGAACTTTCATGGAAAACAGACAGAAAGATTAGGTCAGTCAACTAATCGACTCTTAAGAACACAGTGATGCCGAGCTTTAAATTTTGGGGGAACCCGAAGTACTCCACCAGCAAATGCACACAAATAAGCAAGACAAACATTTAACTGCACTGTTCAAAAGAGTAAGAAAAATGGACAGTGGCAAAACTCAGAGTGTGATCCAAGGACTGACCTGAGAATCATGAAGTTGGTTGTGAAAGCGCTGAATTAAGTCATTCAATTCTTCATTGAGTTCTGATGTAAGGCTCACTCCTGAAACACTACCTGTAGTCTCTGTTACAACTGGGCATGCAGAAGGAGGAGGAAAAAAGGTAAATACTCTTCCCCAGCAATGAAATAAAGGCTATTTGATTAAAAAGGTTTGGTTTGACAAAAACATTAATATACTGCATCTCTTAAAATACAGCAGTTATTTTTAATGTTGTATCCTTCCCACTCTTGAAAAATTATTTCCATTACAGAAATACTAAAAAGCAAACTCACAGTTGCTTCGTGAAGAACCCCACAAAAGGTTTTTTGCTAAAAAGGTCAGAGCAAAATGCAAACAACCAAGCTGCCTAGGGTTGATGGAAACATCTTGCTTGTCAGAAGCAAGATTATTACTCAGTATAGCTGAACTAAGAACAGTGCACATAACTTTACTTCGTTGTGCTGGTTTTGGCTGGATGGAGTTAATTTTCTTCACAGTAGCTGTAACAGAGCTGTGTTTTGGATTTGTGCTGGAAACAGTGTTGATAACAGGGATGTTTTGTTATCACTGAGCAGTGCTGACACAGAGTCAAGGCCTTTCCTGCTTCTCACACCACCACACCATTGAGCAGACTGGGGCTGCCCAAGAGGTTGGGAGGCGACACAGCTGGGACAGCTGATCCCAACTGAACAAAGGGATATTCCATACCAAATGAAGCCATGCTCTGCATATAAAGCAGGGAAGAAGGTGGAAGAGGGAGATGTTTGGAGTGCTGGTATTTGTTGTCCCAAGTAACCGTTAGCATGATGCAGCCCTGCTTTCCTGGAGATGGCTGCACACCTGCCTGCCCATGGGAAGTGGTGAATGAATTCCTTGTTTTGTTTTGCTTGTGTGTGGCTTCTGCTGTACCTATTAAACTGTCTTTATCTCCACCCATGAGTTTTCTCACTTTGATCCTGCCATGGGGTGCTTAGCTGCCTGATGGAATTAAACCATGACATTCTTTAAAATAATATATTAACAGGACATCAAGCCTCCGTCTTAGCCTAAGTTGTAATATTTAGAGCTGCAACACAGTCTTGGGTGGCTGTTCTTCAAAAAGCTTTATGAGAGGAGTGCATTAAAAAGAAAACTCTTTTCCCTCCCTGGAAGCTCAGATTCAAACAGTACTAAGATATGGAACAGGCAGTCAAGAGATCCAAATAACATTCCCCCCCACCCCAGTGTGAGCCAACACTTCATAAGAAAAATCAAACACAAATAGTATTTACTTTCCCCACAGATCATAACTTTGTTACCTGCACAATGAATTTTTACTATTTTTAAATTGAAAACATTTCTTTTGCCCTATGTTGAATTTGAATCTTTACATGCCCTGCCCTCCAGTTCTGGCACATACCGTATCTTTAAGGCAGTCAACACACACAGCAGTAAGGAACTGCCATTAAGAGTGACATTAAGTGGAAATGTGGAACAAATAAAAACACCAGAGAATTTAAACAAATGATGTTCTAATTTATCAGGTAATCCTATTTTCTACCCACTCCTCATCAAGATGGAGTTTTGTATATTTGAGAAAAGAAGAGAAAGCAGATTCCATCATAGGTCTACTGCTGCAGCGCAGATAGGAGAACAGCAATTGCTGAAAACCATTTAAGAAATCAGTATTGACACCTTTTGAAGGCATCTGCTTCTTTTGCTCCTTCCTGTAGTCGATCAAATCAAGGACAGGACAAAAAGCAGAAAGAGGATATCATCAGAGCAAGGAACATTAAAGAGAGGTTTTGTACAATGCAGAAGCCAATGTTCTGATTTCTACAAATTAAGATATTTTAAATACAAAAAACTAACCGTAGTAAGAACTGCCATCCCACATACCCTCTAATCACGGCTAATTGCAACTCTTATGGGGAAGAGTCATGGAACAGCAACACCAACTGAATTTGATCTTGCTCAGTGCAAAACTGCCATTCCCTATGACTGCACACGTAACTGTACCCCATTTCCAAAGAAAACTGAACTGAATTTGCGCAGGGGGGAGAAGAACGAGTTTCCAACACAAGGTAATGCACATGCCAACACCTCACAGATCAAGGACAACTGCCTCCCTTTTAAGACTGAACTCTTGAGGAAAAACCTCTGCTGACAACCTTTAAGCAGATATCAAAAAAGTCTCTGTCCCAAAGATAATTTTTTAAAAGTTGAGAATATATGAAAACAAATCAGAAGAATGTTTTTAAACTGAAGGTTAAAACATAATGGCAGTGCTCTATTATCAGAGTCAAGCCCCCAGTTTAAGTGCCATCGAGTTTCAGTTTCATATTTACTTTGTAACTGCTTGAGCAACTTCCTTTTACTGGATAAACAATTACTCTACCAATGGCTACTGAACTGTCAAGCAACCTGCCACCCCAAAAAGAAAATCATCTCATAAAAAAGCAAAAACTCAAACTCCCAACTGCCTATAGCCAGAAGGATGCAGGATGGGAGAGAATACACTGCATCCCCCACATACTCCATTTTTCTCCTTCAAAAGCTTGACACAGTGATGGTGGTGAGAGACAGACTCCTAACCTAACCATGGCAGACCAATTCTGAGGAAACAATCCTGCTCCCCGGTTAGGATTTTACAAGTGAATCACTGAAGTCAGCTCTATGTTTAACAATGTTACACTTTCAACACTTCTCAGAAATAGAAGTCTTGCAGTAAAATTTTTTAAAAGTGCATTATTAAAAAGACCTTTAAATGTGTTCCACAATTCCATCTTTAATCATTCCATCAGCATGCTAACATGCTAGCAAAGATACATACCAGAATCATCCATGACAGCAATTGCTTGGTCTGCTTTATGCTGCAAAGCAAGAAGAGCTGCCTGTCTTCCCTGAAGAGCTTTCAATTGCTCTTGCTGTTGTAGCATCCTTTTCAATAAATCATGCTGCTTCTTCAAGTTCTCCAACTCCTCTTTAGCTTCCTGTTGAGGATCTCTGGCCTGCGAGATACAGAAGAACATTACCACAATCATGACCATTTATTTGTTGAATACTCATGACACACGTGTCAAAACAAGCAGTACTTTTATAGATTCAAACACCCTATTTAGTTTAAGAAGGTGAAAATTAAACAGCTTCACCTTTCTGGGAGTTCTTTTCAGTCTAAAAATTTTAGAAACCCAGTATCACCAATGCTTGGCACTCCTGGGGGTTAAGTTTTCTTTAGAAACCCAGTCAGTCACCCTAATGTGTCCCAAAGACAACACCAAGCATCCCCCTCTCTCCTGAATCATAAAAGAGGGCATTAAGCTCTAAGACTGGTAAAGCGAAGCAAGGTAAGGCATAGCATCATGGAGCTACATGTAATGCAAGATCTAGATTGATCCACTGGCCTAAAATCTCTACATTTTCAGCAGACAGTTTTGGGCAGTTATTCTTCTCCAGCCTATAACGTGTTTAGTTTAGAATGCTATATTCATACCACAGATACCAGAATAGACTAGATTTAGGTAAACCAATTTCAAAACCAAACAATGCACAGAATGCCCCCTATACCGTATTTTCACACATGTGGAAATAAATTTGAATGAAAGCATTTTGGGCAGTTAAAATGTATCAGAACTAAGTTATTTCCCTCATGCTATCCTAACTGGAAGCTAGATATTTGACTCAAAACTTTTATTCAAGTACTGCCAGCAAATTAAGTATTTTAATCAGACACCCACATTGAAGATCCTGATCCTGTTGAAGTTGGATTATCACACTATGCAGACAAAAACATGGAAAAAATTTGCCTACTTTTTGTTAGGAGTTACCAAATGTTTAACAAGAACATTAACTTAAAAGCATCATCTTCTCTCCACATAGTGCTGAGTTTCTGAACTACAAAATTCTCTCAGTCCAAAGATTCTGCACCAAATGCCAGACTAGAAGCAAGCACCTTATTAACTCGTTTTGGGTACCATGGAATGCTCAACTTCCAGCAGAGGAAGGAGAACACATCCAGAATTCTGAACGTCTCAAAGGGTCACTAAAACTTGCACTGCAACTGGTGCTGATCGGTCCTATTAGATTTTAATCTTTTACATACAAAGCAGAATAGAGGCAAATGGAGTACACAATGACATTAACACAGAAAGGAATGAGGGGAAGGGAAAAGACGATGCATCTCAGTCTTGCTTACCTATTTAATAATCCAAACTTTATATAAAGTACCAGATTTGCTCATGTTCATTAATATCCAACAACAAATTTTTCAAGCTTAGTTCTACATTTAGACCAATAAGCTTGACAAAACATTTAAGCTTCTTATTTTATGGAAAAAAATAATCAGACCTTTTTATTTCTTTCCAAGTCAGAGTAGGAGACAAAGCCATAGAAAAGCTGCTAACAGGTAGCAAAAGTACTTTTAGACTCCAAGTCCCTCAGTCTTCCAGCTTCCAAGCAAATATTTATATCAACAGCTATACAAAAACATTTGTGGAACAAGTTTAGGCTACTATGCTCCCATTTATTTTCTCTAATTGGTATTAGCTTAAATTTGCATTGGCAGATTATTAGTATAAACCTGACAAGTGTCTCCAAGCCACATTTACAATGTTCCCCCTGAAAGAGAACAGAAAAACTGGACCACATACATAAAATCAGAACACGTGACACAGTTAGGGGCAGTGTCTTCTCTGTCAGTGTTGACACTTCGGAAGAGAAAGCTGTCAAATACCTCTAAAGAAAAAAGAACACTCTAGACAAAAAAAGATTCCTTCAGTGAAAAGACAGCTGGATACAGGAAAGCAGGCCAAATGGGAACATCCACAGTAAGTAACAGATACTTTTGAAGCAGTTAATAGGAGAGAAAAAAAAATAAAAACAGCATATATAAACCCTACTTGAGGCTCAAGTAATATTCTCAAGTGTACGTTTGAAGGCAATCCATGTTCTTGGCTATTAATCCTACAAGGCCAAATTTCCCTGTCTTTCAGAGCAACTCTGTCACTCTTCCCTTTAGGACCTGCTGTAACATGTTCTTGTGAAGCTGATTTCCCTAGTCTGTCCTCAGTGCAGGGCCAAATGCTCAAACTAAAAAATTCCTCCTTCATTAAACAGTTCAGTATGTTAGATCTGGAATATGTGCTCCAACTTGGCATGCATTATTAAGTTACAAACCTACCACTTGTATCTTGTTAAATAATGAAAACTAGCACCAAATAGAATCCACTAAAGAGCAAAGACATTTTTAGTCACTTAGAATTCTTGTAACAATAAGGCTCCATAGAACAACCAACCGTGTAAGACTAGAGGTATTAATTCTGTGTGCAATATATTCAAGCTGCATGTAAAGAGAAGTTATATGCAAAATGAAGAGCCAAACATAAAACTAAAACCCATTTTAAAAGATGAAGAAAAATACAAGTTTACATGCATATTACTTAAAAACCATTTTTTTCTGCATTTTTAAAAATATTAGTCAAAATGCTACACATGGAAGATGTACTTTTATATCTTTACAAGGACTGAAAGTGTTCTTACAAAGCTAAAAGTAACAAAGACTTCTTCATGTTTTAACCATGGTTTTACTTCCAAGCATGTCAATTCTCCTCATCTGCAGAACATTCAGAGTACTAACTGGCTGAGAATACCAGCTCTCCAGTCATTTTCCTCAGTACAGCAGCATTGGAAGATGTAAAATATAAGTTATTATTAAAATGCTTTATATCTACTACAAGAATGGTTTAGCACATATTCTCTTTATAAAAAGAGAAAAGAAGACTGTGTACCTCAGATAGTAGATTCAGACTCACATTTTCTAAAAGGTGCTCATCTCTTCAAAAAAAGGAGAGACTTCTGTGTTAGGTCAACACTTCTATCGTATTACTAGAAAGATGTTTGGGCCATCGTGCACTAATGACTCATTTCTAACCCTCTCCTCACCCAACACCAGAAAGTTTTCCCCATTAACAGAAACAAACTCATAGGTGAAAAATTGTATAGAAAACTATTCCTTCCTACATCAATTCAGTGCATGCCCTGCCAAAGGAAACGCTTAACCCTTTATTCTACTTGGAAGAAAGACTGAAAATTTTTTAAAAAACTAATCAAGATATATTGTTGTGACAGAACCATTAATTTTTTCCAGATATTAAAATAAAAAAAAAAATCAACACATGCATGAACAACTCCTAAACAGCGTTTGAGGATTTACACTTTAACTGAACTGCAGATTACAACACTATCACAACAGTCAGAAGAAAACCAAAAGTCTTCATTTCTAGCACCTTAATTACTAAAAGGCAGCTTACCGTGGTATCTGAAGCCTCAGACCGCACATCAACGTTTAGCGATGTGCTCTCACCTACAGAACCAGATCCCACAGCTGAATCTATAGTCCGAACATCATCCTCCTCTTTTTCTCTAGCCTGAAATATTTCATTGGCATAAATCAAAAGCTATATAAGGGGGCAGCAAAAATGAATTATGGAAGGTACTACATATCCAAACCAATACCCCCAGTAGCACCATTAAAACATCAACGGTCAACTCCAAAAAAAAAAAAGCTTACAGTGCAGAAACAAATACATTATGTTCTCAAACTTACAAGCATCTTTCGCAAAAATTTCAGATAGGATTTCTCCTGCTCTTTAAGGTGATCTATAAGGTGTGATAAACGCTCAACATTGGCCGATCTTTCATTTTTCTCTACAAGATCATCCCGCATGGAGCTGGCCTTAGCAATATAGTCGCGAATTTGAACTAGGCTGCTCACAATCTGTAAAGACACTGAAGTTACTGAATGCATTCAGCTGCAGCTTTAACGTATTTAATGCACAAGACGCGGCGAGAGCAACAGCACAGTAGTAATTAAAGGGGTGACATACCAGCACTTTCAATCCTACAAGCACACTTTTGGAAGTGATTACAAGTCAACAGCCCTTGTAAGGACAGATTTATGCATGCATGAAGTTGCAGGGCTGAAGCGCAGGGCTTCTTGTCGACACAGGCTAAAGCAGAATTGAGCTCATTAACATATGAAAATATTAAACCATGAGAGCGTTTTCTGGAACTGCATAAGAGACGCAACCTCCAAGATGAAAATTAATACTGCTTCTGTTACCCACAAACAGATTTCTAAAGAGTAATACATGATTAAGTTTGGTTTCACATTTCCCTCAAGTTGCCTTTTAGAACACTGGGAAGCCGAATATTTCCAATAAAGACCTAACAGTTACACTTTCCAGAAATTTAGAAAGATGCAAGGTAATTAATTACCTTCAAGTAAACAGGTAATTAAAAACTTTCTAAGAGCCAATATTCTGTAGAATTTACAGGCTATGTAAATACCTGGCTGCTATCCATAGCTGGTTCTCCCCTTCCATCTTCTTGGAAGACTTGACAGTTTTGCAAGAAATCCTTGCTTAGAGCAGCTCCAAACAACTCTTTACATTGCACTGACACCCCACTTTCCTTTTTCTGGGAACCGGAGGCAGGATCTTTGCTTTTGTTAGTGTTTATCTGCAGTGACAGGAAGTTGAATGGTTTTTTGTTTTCATTAAGTTGACGTTTGTTGTTAGCAGCTGTTGCCCTGCCTTGAGAATCACTTCCAATGCTTCTCTATAAACAAACAAAAAGAACAATTGCTTTATTTTTTTTTCCTCCAATACATTCTCAATACTGATTAGTTTCACTGCTTGATTTAAAATTACCGTAATAGTCACTGACTAGCCAAAAGCTTGCTAAAAACAGTGACAGTGATTTTCGCCATACAGCTTTCAGAGAGCAAGTCCATCGGGCCAGAAAAGCTGAGAAGCAAGAGTGTTCTGCAGTTCCTCAGAGCTGAGCTCCTCACCCTTGCTTGGCTTCCCTCTTTACTGGGTGACATCCTATTTCTCCAGGTACATTTGAGAGAATAATAAACGAGCAACATAATTGCTCACAGAACACCACACCTCATACTTCAACATTTCTTCAGAACCTTCTGAAGAGCAACCTGTTGCCACATCAGACATCTGGGGAGGAAGTTATGCCCAGTCTTTATATTCTAAGCCAAAGCAATGAATTGCACTTGAAAGATTCTTCGCAACTCCAACGAGTTAACAAACTTTGGCAAAGATTATCAAGCTTCAGTTCTAAACTGTCAGCACAAGTTTATGCCTTGTTACCAAAGAATTTATCCCTCATACTTTTCACTGTTTTGGACAAGGGCAGGATGAATGCGCCACATTCCAAAAAAAGCAGTTATGGCTCAAGAATTCATGCCATACATCTCCCTACACTCTACTGAGGAACTGCCTTTAATGCTACTCTTCTGCTTAATCCGTAAGGATCACCATGTTCAGAATCAAACTGGCACTTCAAGAACACTTTCAAAATAAGGTAACAGATGTCCTTGAGTGGCAGACAAATACGATGAGTAAGAAGTACTGACTGAAGGACACAGGAAAACCATGGTCTTGAACCTTCCACAATTTTCTCAAGTTCAAAACCAGAATTTTGATTTGGCTCCCATGGTGCTTATAAGCAATTAGGATTTAAAAAAGCTTATGAAAGCTTACTCATCTGTCAGACTATTAAGAAACAGCTGAATGAACTGTGTAGTCACTTTTACAGTGGGAGCTAGTATTCACACAAACCTGATCCAGATCACTGAAGTTTATTCTCTGTTTAAGCCTTTCTAGCTCAGCCTGCTCTGGAACAGACATCTGGGTCATATATCGAGCATGAGGAAAACTGTGAGGAGTTCTGGTCTTTCGTCGTCCCACTCCAGGTGAGGATTCTGGAGATATAGCATTAGTAAGTCTTGTTTCAGCTTCTCCACCAAGCTTTTTCTTGTTTTTTTCTGATGATCTGTTTGCTTTCTTCTGTTGACTTCCCCAGTCCTTTAAGGGAAGGAGAAGGCAGAAAACAGCTGTATGTTATCCATATCGATAAATGTTTTAACTCAATGAGTTTACTTCCATTTGGAAGTAAACAGAAAAAGCGGTATCAAAATATGCACTTAGTTCTCTAGAGCAAATGTCACATTACAAAATACAGTTTTCTCCACTGCATAAATTAGTTTGTCAGGAAATTTTAAACCCATTTGATCCTACAATGCATTAAACTAGTTTCACGTGAAATTAAAATTCAGCAGTTTAGAACTTCATTAAAATTAGGGTTTTCTCTCTCATGACACCTACAATGTTTTTGTGTCTAGCTATTTACCCAAAACACTTCCCATAAATATATCTACAGACTTCACAATCTCTGAATTACACTCATTGCTTGCTTACATCTACCTTTGTTATTTTTATTGGGCTTGCGGACACTTACCTGTAAAACCATACTGACAAGGCTTAGGGTTTTGCACTGTTACCTGCCACTAACCGAATCTACCTGGTAATTTTTATGTACAGCATAAAACAGCAATTGAAAGATAAGATGAATTATACCGTGTTGTTCAGACGGTCATCAAGGGTCTCATTGCTCCAGCTAGGCAGGTCCTGGTCATTCATGCCTTCTTCAAAGGGACAACCTCCTGTTGCCATGACAAGCAATCAATAAAAAGAATCTAAAAGAAATAGTTGAAAAAAACACGCTGTATTAAAATCACGTAGAATATTTTTAAGATTCATAATCTGTGATGACAACAACGTATTCACCATAAAATGCAAACACAAGGCTGTTTTGGGAAACTACACCTCCTGTTTACTAAACCATTACTAAAAAGGTAATGATGAGAACACAGATACTGGCATTAAAAATTAAACAAGCAGTAGTTTGCAAGGGCGTGAGTTCTTACTTTCATTTTTTTAATCCTTGCTCCTAGAAAGTAAACTCTTTTTTTTTTTTTGGCTCTCAATATTGCCCACTTAAAACACACTGTGTACAGTGCTTGGAAAGGCTGCTTTGTGATTGATAAAGCCTGCACTGTCGTGCCCACAGTGATGTCTATTCAATACAGAAAGTGACTTTGGAGATCTAGGATGTCAAACTTCTGCATTTATTTCAATACTAAGATGTTGACAAGAGAACACTGAATGGGATACTTGATACAATACACAGAAAATACACATCAATAAAAGTTTTTACCTTCTTTACCACAGGTTAATTTTTCCAAGCAGTGAATGCTGTGCCACTTACGTTATAGTTCCTAGCAAAACCAAAATAATTTGCTTCCCAGAGCTTTGCTGCTCTCTAATAATGCCATTCTGTGCAGTATAAAGCAATCTATATTCTAATAGTTCTCACTTTCACTCCTAGTTTTGACAGTAGTAATAAAAGAGTTGTTAAAGCTGAATGATCAGAAACAACCTATTACTATATAGCAATAAATTTATATTAGCCTGTTCAAAAAGGTGACAAACACGTAACTGCATACACTCAGGCTGCAATAAAAACTGTAGCCCAAGTGCTGCTGGCACAGTTCTGCTACACAAAGCTACAAACTTCGTCTTTTTAACAGCTACGAAGTTCCACTACAGATGTAGAAGAAAAACAAACTGGCAGAGGATTGCTTTTTTTCAGTTAGTTTTAACTGCAATGGTAGGACATGATCTTATCTTTACTTTCAACTGGAAAAAAACCCAAGAACTGTTAATTTCTAAACATTTTCCTGCAACATATCTACTACAAATTTTAACAGGAATATTTCACTGTGCAGGTGAAGAAATCACCTAAAACCGAAGATTAAGAAGTAGCTAAGAAGTTGGGGTTTTTTTAATAATCAGTTACAGGGGAAAAAAGTAAATCCTGAATTAAGTTTAAAAGCTATACCAGCACACCCACCTCACTTAGGTATAGCAGTTAAGCAAAATCACACAGCACAGCCCTGTCAATAGGTGCACTTGCACAAAGCAGCATTTTTATGCAAGCACAGCCTATTACTATACCATGAAGGAAATGGGATCTACCAGGTATGCTCATTATACCAGAACCGTATCCCCACTCGGCTGTGTACCGACCTATGTCACTAACACACCTAAGAGTAATTCAGCTTGTGCATCTCACAACCAGAATCATAACACAGGTATAATTGTCTTCTACTTTGGGAGCCAGCAGATCTGTGCCCTACTGTCCTTGCACATTGATTCATACGTCCTTCTTCATCCCAACACAAGTGTCCACCAGGCCACGCAATCAGAGGGTACCATCTGTAAACTAGCTAGCCAACAAACAAAACCCACATTAAAAAAGTAATGAGGAGTTCTCAACTGGATAAGCTCCCTGATCTGGCTACCCTTATGACTATGTAAGAACTATCCCTAGGCTCAAGGAAGGTGCAGGAGCGAAACCCAGACACATCAACTGTAAAACCACACCTTCTGTGCAACTTTCACCCACATGAACTGTCAGATTTACTGAGAAAATAAGAACAAAACGCCCTTTCATATTTTCTTTGTTTTCACACAGAAGCACAACCATCCTAAGAAAAGTTTGCAGGCAAGCTCTCCTGCCAGCTCAAGGTCAATTTGACAAGCATTCAAAACAAATGCATAGTTATCGGTTTATTTTAGAAAACACCTACGTTTTGGAAGAGCTTTCTTCAGTTAAAGATAAACTGTTCAGCTTTGTGGATGTGCAAGACCCAACATTCCAACAGGCACTCTATCCTGACCTATGCCACTAAGCATAATGAGTTCATCTTGACAAGATTAGAGGCCATCTGGGTTTACAGTCCAATTCAGTAATCCGTTTCCTCATCATCATGTTATATAATTCTACAGAAACTATAGCAAAACAAGTTTTTCCCTACCTTCTACTGTAAAAACAAGAAGTGGCAGTATTCATCTTTACATAATACAAATAGCTTTTGTGAAAGTCTGAAATAAATGTGAATAGTTATCTTCAACTATCTTTGCTGTGGGAGTCTCTGATTACCTCTGAAGTAAATTCACTGCCACAGATGGAATATTCTGAATAATAGTCTCAAACAAGGACACCAGGCATAAGCCACTGCCCTCTACTAAATACAGCTCAAAAATAACAACATCCTAATTACTTGCAGCCAGTGGATTTTCAAGTGTTCGAACAGAACTGCGTCCTTCACAAACAGCAAGTCTCTAAACATTCGCATCACAGTCTTTGATATTTCCAAATGAGTTACATTCAAGTGAGCTTAAGATCACAGAGCTATGCTCATGTTTTAGCCTTTCAACTCTGCTAAAAAGAGGTTCACCCAGCTTTTTTCTTAAGACATGAAGCTGTGTTTTTCACATTCCCACACACACTTCACCTATTTCTGTATTCTTCCTTTTCATTTTGCCAGCTATTTCCCAAATAAATCCTCCTATAAAAGCTTTGGTACCCTCCCATTATGTTACTTCTGCATCCAGCAACCCATTAGCAATCTCAGCTTCTTGCACATTAGAGAATCTGTGTAACAGCTCTACTTGAGCATGTGCATACTGCCTTAAAACATTCACTAGAGACTTGAAAAAAGACTTTCAAGTCTATTTTCTACAGAAATAATAACTTAAGATCACACATAAGATCATAGTCAAAACACGTTAAGATCACAGTCCAAACATACTTTGTACAGGTAACAGCAATATGCAAACTGCACAAAAGTATCACTACAAAACATGCCAACAAATCAGAGATACCTAATTTAAAAGTCTTCTACAGCACAGGTATTTTGGACGTTTTTTTGTCCTTACAGCATTCATGTGATCTACAAGAGCTCTGAATTCTACAGAAAAATTTTTGAAAATTAAATGGGAAACGGTGTTATAAAAAGTCATCGCAGAACCATAAAGACTGAAAACGAGGTCAAACATTTCTAACTTCTGAAGAAACGTGCTCCTCACCGAGCATTAACTCATTAACTGCCTACAAAGTACAGCCAACCATACAACACCATCAAAAGGGAACAGACAACAGAGAAAGCCCTCTCTCGCCGCACCGAACAGCCCTCTCAGGGCCAAGGCGCTAGAACTGCAGCCTCAAACCCCGAGCCCGAGGACGGGATGCCCAGCGCCACCAGCCCGCAACCTCAAGAGCGGCCCGAGGGAGGGATGCCCAGCGCCTC